CTTTTGCTGTAAGTGGTTAAATATTAGTTAGACTTTTGCTGTAAGTGGTTAAATATTAGTTAGACTTTTGCTGTAAGTGGTTAAATATTAGTTAGACTTTTGCTGTAAGTGGTTAAATATTAGTTAGACTTTTGCTGTAAGTGGTTAAATATTAGTTAGACTTTTGCTGTAAGTGGTTAAATATTAGTTAGACTTTTGCTGTAAGTGGTTAAATATTAGTTAGACTTTTGCTGAAGAAAGTGATTATTTATCTCACTTATATGTTAACATTTTCTGAAAGTGGTTATGTTCTCGAGTTATATGTTAACTTTTACTGAAAGTGGTTAACTATCAGAGTTATACGTTAACTTTTACTGAAAGTGGGTTTTTTTACCAATTTTTTGGCAGTTTCACAACCAGATATGTGCATCTTCTCATCCACACTATCAACCAGTTACACAAACAGTAGAATAACTGTCAAAGAGAATGATACAAAGCTGCAATAATGTTAACTAAATTAAAATGCCAGTTAGTTTTGTTCCCAATTCAATGAATTCGTACACAACACTTTTTAGGATATCATTCACCCATCCTTTTCCACTGTCTCCCCTTGATTTTTCTGTTCCCATCCTTCTATTAGGAGTTCAGCTGCAAGCCTGGCACGGATGACTTCAGACTCGTCAGAGTGATTAGTGACTTGAGTGGTATCAACCCCATGAATTATAGCCTTTATATATAAAGGAACGAAAAGACCACAATCAAAGCTGCATGATATAAGATGGAGCAGATAGTTAGATATAACATGCTGAATAAAATGAAAATGTTTAAATTTAGTTAACATACTAAGACATGTTTAAATGCATGAAATACTAACATTCCAGTCTGTTGCTCACAAGGGACGGCTTCATATCGGAACTTTCTCCAAATATTATTCGGATCGAAACCAGACTTCATATGGTCCATGAATGCAATTACTTTATTTACTGGCTCAACGTATGCACTATGGCCAGCCGAGCTATAATGCTTGACAACGTCCTCATCCAACCTTACTTCAGCCACATGCCAGTGGTCATGACGCACAAGCGGGATAAGGAGTACATTCTTCCTTGCGGCAACATGCTTTTGTATGAAAGAGGTGTATAGATGTGGAAAATCTGGGGTGACTGCATAAAGACTATGCTGTATTGCCAAAAAATTATGATAAGCCAATTGTAAACATGAGATAAAAATGGTAGGAGATTGAATTGGGTGCTTACGCAGAAGAAAGTCGATACAACCCCATATTGGTTGCCCATGGACTCCACATCTGGCCTCTCTAGCCATGTGACGAGCCTATCCACAAGAGCTTCCATCACCTGTAAATTTACCATGGAGCAGATACAAATTAAATTACATAACACTCAGTCATCTCATAAAATGCGTAAGAGATTAACATATCAAACTTGCATGGTCATCGATACGGCCGCCACGTAGAAGATTAAGAAGTTCCAATGAATCGACACTACTGTTGAATGTGTTAACAATAACGTGTGACCTGAAACATAACAATAAGATCCAAACCTCGTTCAACCACTTACTATAGAAAAATATGGAAATATTAACATGATTTAGCAAACGTTAGCATAAATGAGTATAAGTTAACATAAATATGGAAACGTTAACACGTAACGATGAAAGCTAACATTTTATAGCAAACGTTAGCATAAATGGGTAATAATTAACATAAACCTGGAAATGTTAACACGTAACAATGAAAGCTAACATGTCCTAGCATACGTTATTCAGAATGACTAAACTTACTGATGGGCTTTTTGATTGCAAAACTCAGAGATCCGTCTGTTCTCATCTGGTGTGAGCTTTGATAATACGTGTTGAGGTACTCTAAAGTTGTGAACGAAGGTTCCTTTACTATCAATCAAACGTATGCTAAAATCATCAATGTTAGGAATATCCTCGTTCAGCAACTTCAAAAGAGCCTCCTCCTTCTTCTTGATTTTCCTCTTCCCCAAAAAATCCCAAGTGCATTCATCAGGCTTACAATAGAATTCGGATCGAAACCAGACTTCATATGGTCCATGAATGCAATTACTTTATTTACTGGCTCCTCCTAAAAGAGCCTCCTCCTTCTTCTTGATTTTCCTCTTCCCCAAAAAATCCCAAGTGCATTCATCAGGCTTACAATAGAACCTGATTTTTTCCCTCTCTTCCTCCTTGTGGTGTGATATGTTAATTATCTCTTGATGAACTTTCTTCTTCTTTTCTTGAGTGAAAGGGGTGCGGACTAGTTGTGAGCGCGTCCGCTTTCTAGTACTTGGTCCCCTAGTCCCCCTTGACACTAATTTCTTCAATCTCTTCTGATAAACTTGCACCTGTTTTTTCTCCTCCATCCTTTCTTCAACTTTCTTCTCCTCAGCACATTCTCCCTCTCTGTTCTCCTCCACTTTTTCTTCATCTTTCTTCTTTCCTTTTTCCTCTTCCACTTTCTCCTCCTCCTCTTCCTCTTCCTCTTCCTCTTCCTCATTCTTCTCCTGCTCTCGCTCTTCCTCTTTCTTCTCATCCTCTCTCGCTTCCTCTTTCTTATCCTCCTCACTCTCTACAGCTTTCTCCAAATTATCATCCTCCATCTCTTGCCATTCACCTTTCTCTAACTCCTTCTCTGCTTCCTTGCCAATATTGGTTACCTCGTCATAATCGAAGCAAATTCCATCATCACCCCTGTCCTCAGAATCAATACTCCTTCTTATTTTCTTTTGTGCAGACCCTGTATGCCCCTCTTTCTGTGACATAATCCCCTTCACATTCTTCTTCAGGTCTTCGGGGTCAATCAAGTCAGCGGTCCCTTCATAACGCTCCAATTTCTTGTTCAGCCTATGTATCTCCTTAGAGCATTCCTCCCATTGAAGGCGCTTACTACGCTTGACAGTGTGGAGCAGTTTCCAATTAATTTTGGCCGTATTCCTCCAAAATTGAATTTGATCTTCGGTTGTCATCTTCTCTATTTCATCTTTACTCTCAAAAGCATCTCTGATATGCTGGGCCAAAATCTGAAAAGTAAACCATATACCCATTACCCATATGTATCCACAATATTAAAAAAATAGTTATGAGAATCCACAATGTAATTTTCTTACCCAAAACATGTTAACATGAAACAATGAGTACATGGAAAATTAATTAATGATAAAGATAGAAAATTTAACTCAATATAAATATGCAAGAATGTGTAAAGAGTCATTGATGCTTATGTAACCTATGGATGAGCTCTTTGTCCTGCCCTTCACCTTATCTTGCTTCCCATCCTTTACCTTTTCTTCCTCATTCTTCTTTCTCACCCTAGTTTGCTCCATAACCTTACTCCTATATGAGACAAATGGGATTCTTTTTTCCCAAAGCGAGCGATTTCAATCTTCTTCCTACTAGGCTCCCGTTGAGGGTATTTTTTACCTTGAGGGTATTTTTCACCCCAGTTAATGCTGGACGTAATTGGTTTCTCCATGATTTTAATGCTTGTTTTCTTGGCCTTAGAGACAATTGTCTCCATCCTCAACGATCCAGCGGTCCCTCCAACCCTTACCAGTCCCTCCAACCCTTACCCAATTGGTCATCGGAGGCTTCCATCTCAAGTTTAGGGCTGGTTTTTTAATGTCAGTCATCTCATAGTACCATAGCTGTCAGAATCGAAGGAACGAATATTAAAATAGTTAACTTTCAGAGCTCATTCTTCAACTACACTCTAAATAGCTACCTTTCACCAAAACATGTTAACATTAATGGGTACATGTTAACTTTCACCTATTAATGTTAACTTTAATTTTTATATGTTAAAGTTCATGTTAACATGTTAATTTTAACCATATTCTGTAAACATTTAATATTGTACATGTTTTCTAATGCCTGTTACCAAGACTAATGTTAACTAAAACAAATGTCAGACCAGTTGGTCATGCAACTTACAGGGATGAGCGGCATGCATCCAGGTACGTATGTAACCCCTGGCTTCCTCAACCCTTCAACGGCAATTTGAATGCCTCTCTTCGTCTCATCAAAAATAAATTTACCCCACGCAATGTTCTTCACTCTCTCAATACTATCTACATATTGAAACAATTGTCTTGGAATGCCTTGTGAGCTGTTGGGGCACCAAATCATTGCACAGTGGTACAAGATCTGAAGCAGCACAAAATCCTCAATGTCCTTATTATCAGAAGACTCAACCAGTGTTTCCAGTAACTCCTCAACTTATCTCCTCATGCTACCAGCTTCTTGTGTGGCCTTGGCCTTCGCCTTTGACTTTGCCTTTAGCATTTCTTTCTTCTCTTCAAAATATTCCCTCCAAAGCCGGTTGTGCGGGTGTCTATTCCCGTAGATCAATTCCCCATCAATAGGGAAGCCCGTGTGAGTTTGCACCCACTCTTCATCAAATTGGACTGAAAATATAGTCCCGCTTATGGGATCAGAAAAAGAGAATTCATCAGTTTCGCCAACATAATGGCTGAGCACATGCTCTAGTGCCCGTCGATCACGTGCTGGAGGTCCGAAGAATACATAGTGCTCAAAGTTACTGCCCTTGTAGGCATCCCAATGCCACTACTTCAGTTTTGGTTGAAGTCTTTGCATGAAAGTACAATATGATCCAAGACAGGCACTAGGCCTTATATCACCTTCGGCTGTAGCTTTCCTGCATAAACAACTATTTACTCTTAACAAGTCGTTCAACTGTAAATTAGGTAACAATTACCCGTAAAGGCATTAACTTAGTCAAAATTACGTTTTATTAACATGAATAGCTAATACTTGACACTTATGCATAAACGTTAACAACAACCAAGATTTATTGACATGCATTGCAACTAGCTATCAACAAATGAGAATTATTTACATGCATTTGTTCCAAACTGATAACACTTCGTATTGTTCAGATCTTACTCCAAAATTACGAAACTAGTTCTACACTACAATAACCAGTCTCTCACCACCATTTTATTCAAAAAAAGATCCCATAAACCTCAATTAAAATCAAAATCACTCATTTAAACTAATTAAATTCAAAAACACTCAATTGCTTAGGAATTACTTCTTCTTTAAGATGGACACATCCTCTGGCAAGCGTCTCCTCTTGTGTTCTCGAATATCCAGACTTTTCATGCTCAATAGGGTTTCCGTCGCCTCGTTACTCTCCTCATCCTCAGAGGATGTCGGAGCAGAATTGTCGGCGGGCAATATCAAGGCAGAGGCGGAGGCCGATAAACATAAGTTTGGCATTTCCTCCTGCGCCAATCGTGCCGACCGGGCAGAGGCGGAGGCCGATAAACATAAGTTTGGCATTTCCTCCTGCGCCAATCGTGCCGACCGACGCCGTTGACGAACGTCCTGTTCCGTTTGAGTGTTGTCCACTTCATACTTGCTACGCTTACGGTTCTTAGCCATTTTACTTAAATTTTTTTGGGGCATTTTCAAAATAGATTTCCTAGCCGCTTGAGTGAAACTAGGGTTTTGAAAATGGGTTCGCAAGCTAATGGAGGTTTGCGGTGAAGAAGATAGAGAGCGAGAGAAGAGAGAGAGAAAAGACGGACAGTATCGGGGGGAACGGGTAAAAAAGGGTATTTTGGTCTTATCGCCTCAATTTTTCTCTTAAAGTTGTCTTGGAAATGAAAAAAAGGGCTGAATCATTATTAAGTTGAGTTTTGGGGGCTTTGTCACACCAAAAAAAATACAGGGGCTACTCACATCCAATTTTTTTTTTTTGGGCCTAGAAACATTTTCCCTTCTTTTTCTGTTATTAACCCTAACGGAGACTATCGGCCTTTTTCTCTCTGAGTTGCACGAAATCCAACTCGAGGATGCCATTAAATTTCTGTCCATTGCCTGATCTACCCGTAAGTTTGAATTCCTAGCTCTTTTTTCCGCTCTGATTTCTTTCATTTTTAGAGTATAATTTCTTATTTTAATGGTTTTAATGAAAATTTCGAAGCTTAAGTCTTCGGCTTTTGCTAGAGGTCACAACTTTGAGAAAGGAATCATCCAGCTCGCAAATTTTAGTACAATTTGTGCATAATTTTGTAGGAAATAGCCAAATGCAATAAGCTTGCTGCATATAATATTGCGATTGAGCTAAAATGTGAAATCTTGTCTCGAAAAGCCTAACTTTGTTATATAGTTTGTTCTTTTTCGTTAGAAAAAGTTTTAGTCTGGCAAATTTATTTGAAGTCCAAGATACCTTTTTTAATCATGATTGAGAATTATTTGATTTCTTTTCACAACTGGTGTTTGATTTTCGTGTAAATTTAGGGTTGGTTTGTTGATGCAGGTTTCTAGGTTTACATAGTTGGGTCTTAGACTCTCAGGGTTGTTAATGGGTGCTCCGAAGCAGAAATGGACAGCAGAAGAGGAGTCCGCACTCAAAGCTGGAATTAGGAAACACGGAGCTGGTAAATGGCGTACTATACTGAAAGATCCCGAATTTAGTGGCATATTATGTTTGCGTTCAAATGTTGATCTTAAGGTATGATTACACTTAATATGTTTCTATCTCAGATATGTTAGTTTGGCAAAACGCCTTCACATTTGGATGTGATCTTTATTTGTATGAAATTTTCGTAGCTTGACGACAATTGATATGATATTGACTATAATTTCTCTCTATAAATATATGACCACATGGTCTATGGACTTTTGTGTTTCAACAGGACAAATGGCGAAACATGAGTGTGGTAATGAATGGATGGGGTTCTCGAGAAAAGGGTAGGATAGCCTTGAAAAAGAGCCGACAGATCCCCAAGCATGATGACAATCCAATGGCACTTAGTACTGCAGTTGCGGATTCGTCTGACGAGATTGTTGATGCCAAGCCTCTTGCTATGTCAGCTGATGCTGTGCAGGCCAATGCTCCAAATCAGTCTGAGGCGAAGTTAGTGTCTTCACTGCATTTGCTCATTCTGTTTCTTTGAATCAGTATTCATGCAGTCGTTTTATGATGTGCTCTTTTGTTGCATTAGTTCCATGCAGTTATAGTTTCATGTCGTTCCAACTACATGAATTTTTTTTTGGCATTTGATTGTTTAGAGTTAGATACGGTAATTGCAACCTCCTAATATTGTCTAAATCTTATAATTGCAACTACACTCAAATTGAAGATCGCTGCAGCACCATCTTGAGAATTGCGTAAAAAATATTGCCACTAAACTATTTCTTTAGGGAGTATAGTAATATAATTTCGATAAATTCTTTGCTCAAATCATATTAAAACATGGTTACAAAGTACTAGTGCTTTATTAATGATGTAAAGCTATTGCTAAAAAAGCAATTGATCCAAACACCAGTTGTGTTACTAATTTCATGTACTTGTAATGACATCTATACTATTAAATAATGGACAAAGTGAGGGTAGACCAAACATTGACTGAGGGTAGACCAAACATTGACTGAGGGTGGACATCATGCAGAAAGATTGAGGGCGGACAACATGCAGAAAGATTGAGGGCAAAATGGTAATTGCGTATGAAATATAATCTCTCTTGATATGTGGCCATAATTTCATTAAAAACATCTTAGCAAAAGATTCGAAGAAGAATAACTTTTTATATTTATTTTTGAAAGAAATTCTTTTAAAATATCTATACTAATATATAATGGACAAAATGAGGGTAGGCCAAAAACTGAATGAGGGTGGACAACATATAGAGGATAAAATGGTAATTGCATTGTCGTTTCTAG